TACACTCTTCGGAAAAGAGTAGGGGATTGTCTCCCGGTGTACTGCCCAATCACCACCAGAAGGACCCCACTGGAAATAAGTCTTCTTCTAGACTTTCGTGGGCTATCCTTGGTGTTTACACCGAATAAGTCCAATCCAATCCAACTTAAACTAAACTAAAACTTAAACACATTAAACTTACTAATGTACTACTTTAAATTAAAACTACAAATTATCTTTTAATATTGTTGTTATAAAGGTGAATGCAGTTGGGAACAAAGGAGTTTCTATAACGGCAACGTGTGGTGGGTGGTACATTTAGACGGAAACCTGAGTTACCTGTGTGTTAAATCAGATTTATATTTTATGAGACCTAGGCAACTCTGTAACTGCTAAGCAGTGCATAACATAATTTTTGTATGCTCAAATAATAAAGGTATAGATATGATGATTTCATGCTCTTTTGTAATGTTAAAAAGCCTCCCATGCTTCAAAATACAGCCAAGTAGTTGTGAGATAGTGGAATATGGATTTATGATGTTGTTAAATATGTTTATATAATGGTTTTAATTTGTTGTATGTCATAGAGTAGAGCAATTTTTAAATGATTTTTTTTTACTTATTTGAAAGTGTGTACAGTTTGTATAAAAAAGGAATAAATATTTTATAATATAACACTTATATATTTTAAGTTTGTATGTTTAATGCTTAGTTAACAGTACTTACACTGAGTGTGTATATATAGATAAATAATAATAACTGTCCTCGAATTTGAAAATAATTTGCAGGGGGGAATTTAGAGGGGGTCTCGGGCCAGCCCCGGTTTTTTCCCCCCTTTTGAAAAGTTAAAAAAAGAGAATGAAAGAAAAAGAAGTAAATGATCGTCCAGAACGCCTCAGAAGTTATTTTCGGGCGTCTAGAAAACAAATGGTAATGTTGTCTCGGTCGGCCCCGCTTCCGGGGGCCCTCCCCCTTTGGACATCTCTCGATCCGCCCCTGAGTTGTTATGATCGTATCAAGCATAGCCCTTCAACGAAAAGTTTCTTTTTTCAGTTGTATAAAAAAAATTGTCTCAAGCAGGATTCGAAGGTGCAGCCTCTCCTTATCAAGGCGAGTATCAAACCATTAAACCACAGAGACCTTACAATATATGCGCCCCCCCCCCCCCACTTCCGGCACTTTCCCTCTTACAACACACTCACACTTTAGCTCCACTATGTGAATACTGAATACCCCATGTATGTGCTTTCTCATGATTGGAAGGAAATATACAAGTAAACCAACCTACTTCACAACATCATATACCTGTATGAATACTCTATATGGTCTCGGATGCACCCACATCAAAACAAAAAGGAAGGGAACAAAACTTATGCAAGTAATACATCAATTAATTCAGATTCACATTGAAGTTTATTGTTATGAAAATCGTTAATATCATGAAAATTGTTTTCCTTGTTTTAAATGACATTCGTTTTTAAATTTCTCAACACTTTCAAAACTCTGTACATTGATAATTACGCCTATCTTGTCAAAACTAAAAGTTATATGTTATACAATTGAATATATAATCAGCTATTAACAATGTATCCTATATAATTAAATGGAAATCAGATATATTGTACAACATGAAATAAGAGACACATTGAAATGAAAAATGTCTTTGGAGGATTACAACATCAATGACGATTAAGCCAGTTACAAGGCAATACATTGGCGGCGGAACGAAAGTGGGGGGGGAGAGGGGCATTTCGTAAGGTAATACTGTAAATCCAGTGTGCGAGCGAAGCGAGCATGTAGGCTGGGGCCAGGGGGACGCCAAGGGGGACCCGGGGGCCAAGCCCTCTAGAAGCTACGAATATTGACGAAGTTTGGTGAATTGTATTAGTTATTTTATAGTTATGCACATTAAAGGAAGATGAAGGAAAACAATTATTGATTATACTATTATATAAATAACCCAGCTAACAATTTTACGTCATAAAAACGTTATAGTAACGCTGAAGATTGGTGTTCAAAACGTTTTTGTAGAAACATGAATAATGACTAATTAAGTATCTTATTGTTTCCGTTAAATTAGATGGCATTTAAATGTGGTTATGTTACGTTAGTTTGATGGTTTACTGTAGGCCTAAGCCAATCAGTTATACATCTTCATCGTTAACATGGAACGAACTAGAGCGTCGCACTATAAACAGTACTATATCCGCCCTGTGCCTAAATACAGAATTTACGCAAGGCGGACGAGCGATTCCACTGTTTTCTTCATGCTCGAGGATAGGTTACAGACGTCAATTAATATAGTAC